AAAAAAACACCAATTTCTGTAGGCCAACACAACACTAAAACGAACCTGAAGTTGAGCAAGCACATCGCGTTCGTATCGCAGCATATACTCCCACTGGTAGTCCGGTTGGTTGATCATAAGATTACGGATGAGATGAAGCTCAGGGTCGAGCCTTGAACTCAATACGTGAGCAACACGAAAGGTAAGATTGCTAGTTGAAACCGACCTTATCCACAAAACGGGAGAATCCGGATCCATGTTGCTCAAATCCACCTCCACGTCGTCTCCGGAGTACAACGGCACACGTTTCTGAACCGGGAGATGAGTATTGCGGATAGAGCCAAGGAATAGAGTTATAGGAGTTGCCAAATAAGAAAAGCGAACATGCCTTCTTTAGAAAAACGGTTCAATACAGCTTTGAGTTACTGTACATAAAATTTGAACTCTCATAAAACTACCTTCCGGAGAGCCCACCCTCCTACTTGAATACGAGAACCGATGGGCCTCTACTCTTTCCGCTTTCTTCACCGCCAAAGAATACAGGAGCATGTGCACGGAGCACACTGTTTCATGGCTCCGCCGATCTGATAGTCCCGAACGATATCACCAGGTACGTGGAAGGTAGCGTCTACTAAGGAGGGCACCAGATAGAGTAAGAATCCTCAAACTTGTCCTATCAAGACGAAAAAGCCGTAAGGATTTTATATACGTTCAAATTATGATTCCTCAACCCTTGCGCTTTCCGGCTTTCCGGCAGTTCCGGCTTTGCTCACCTTCCCACTCCATCTATCAGCAACCAACCTTTTTCTGCCGACGACCTTTAGAATGGCACTGAAGATCAGCTCGTGAAATATCGCCGTCAATTTGGACAGTATGTGAAAACGAACCATCCAGTTCTTGCACCAAAACCGTCAACGGACCGACGTATCTGCAGTGATTACAAGCATATGATCACAGAAAACAGCTTCGAAGGAAATATGTGTCTCGCAGCATGAAACATACCTCAATCGACCATTTCCAGGTTCAACTTTTTGCTTCACTTCTAGCTCAATCATATTACGTTTACGGTTGAAGACATATTGCACCTGAAATGAGAAACTCTTGGGCCACATTCTTCTGAGTAAGGTTAAGAGACGTACACGAAAAGAGGCATGTCCTCCATTATAAATCCATTGTTCCATAAAAGTAGGGATTTCTTGTCCAGTAACGTTTGTCACCGTTCTGAAGAAAGTCTCAGTGGAAATTACAAGATGGGTCCAAGTAGCTGGTCTATCACGTCGCTCGGCCATTTGTTGTCCAACAGAAAGGATTTTATGCAACACCTGAAAATGGACGACGTCATATATTCATACTATCAACAAGTATTATGTTATAGTTCTACAACGGATTTGGAAATCCTACTACATATTTCATTGAGGCAAAGTATTACACTAAAATATGAATTCATGCTTTTCATTTTTAGCAGCTGCCCTTTGTGTCGTGATAACGGCACTTTGAAAGAACATTTTCCGGGGCTTCACCAATCACCACCCCTTTTCAGGTGTTTTTCTCAGCAACGTCATTCTTTGGAATACGGGTGACTAAAGTTTGGCCTAAGTGCGTGCCTCCATTCGAGGACCAGACAATCCCAGAAAGTTAGTGGTCAGTGGTTATGCAACGCCTTAGGGTAGAAATGTTCAAGGGGATTTAGTGCTGCCATTTCGTCTGTTTCAGGGTGGAGATAAGAGTCTATAGGTCCAACATTATCCGCGGTGACCCCCGCGAGGAAATATGACGCTTCAGAGTAAACAGAGCTCGTAGAACAATTTAACGGTGACAAGGAGAAGACCGTTAGTCATTTCTACCCTTCAACTCAACTAATTTAACCAACCAGTTCAGTAGGAAACTAGGAGCCGCACGGATTATGGTATGGAAGCCTCCAAGACAACGACGCCAAAGATCGTTCAACAAAACACAGTCGAACTCGGGGGGAGAAATTTGTGATCGCCTCCTGAGCATTGCTAATGACAAGAAGCTCGCCCAGATCGTAGCCGTTTGTCAGATAGTATTCTTCCACAGTTGTTTTGTGGACAAGAGCAAAACAAGTCGCCAATACGATTTCAACTAATGGCACTCCATTCAGATAAGCATAAATCAGGTTCAAAAATTATCGAGCGAAAATGCGTATAACTGGTCTTCCTGGGTCTCAGTTGGTCCTCCGGGGTTTCTTTTACCGATAACAGAAGTTCTGGGATGATCTGCGCTATACTTTGTAAAAGTTCACAATGGTTGAATTACTACAGAGGCAACAATACACAGGATTGCCCTACAGCCACAATTACAAAAATAGAAAGAAAATCGGGCAAAAGTACCTGAAAATAAGGTTCGTGTCCTAATCTCTTGCTAAGCATCCGCATAGCCAAATGGCCTTTCTTAGTTTGATTTTCTACATAGAGAGGAGAACAAGTGTGCTCGCATCGAGGCTCACAATGCAAATTCAGGCGAGGGGATCCTTCACTTGAAGGTCGAAGAACGATCTAAAACGACTCTTTTTGCATCTCATAAAACGTGCATTCGGAAGAAAAATAAAAATGCAACAAACATTCACGAGAACACTGACCTTCCCCCACTGGGATTCATAATCGCATACGGCATTCAAAAGTTTCTTTACATGAAACAGATATTCACTTGTACCAAAGATCTTTTCGATGTAGAGGGAGGTGATAAATCTTAAAACGTTAGAAATTACACTACACAACAAAATACTATAGAGAGAGCACTGGTCCACAGGTATGAAGGGGCGTGTAGGGCAGGATGGGTATGATGGCTTCGCGCCAAACCTACCCCGCCAGTTATTGAAGCGAGCGAACGACATGATTATATCATATTTTATATCTCGTTATCATTAGTTTCACACCAATTGTTGCCGCTTACCCGCTTCAGGAACGGGTGGGGGACGGGTATGACGCCACCGTCAAACGCATACTGCCTGACACGCCTTTCATCTGCAGCGAAACAAGACTGCACAGTGCTTCTCCATTAGATGATAACCTGCCTGGATAATGATCGCACAAGCCAAGAATCCAAGAAATGGGCGGGTGATATGAAGCAACCAAAAAACTGTTGCGAGACACCCAAAGCAAGAGTTTGCCTGCATTCCTTGAATGAAAATTTCTTTTCCGGAGCTATTCCATAGACTTATAATTTTAGAATACCTGTACTACATCGATGATCTTCTTGTGATGGAGAGTACTTATCGAAAAAAGAGTCATGCTACTGTAAGACGTCACATCATCAGGGATCTACAAAGTTAGTAAATGACTGTCAGAATAGGAGCTGAAGGTCTACTATAGAATGACGGGAAATATGATATTTACCATATCTACGAATACTTGCTTGTAGGTAGGATAGGGGAATCGGCAAGAGAGTAGTTCTTCGAAGTATTCCAATATTTTATCCAATGGCGCGACAGTGTGCTTCAGCAGAGACAACAGTCCAACAGGAGCAAAGTTGGTCACCTTAAAACAGAAAAATGCGTAAACTTAAAGGCACACCCCGCTTTTATTTGAATTGGGGTGGTAGTCCACAAGCATGGAGGATGCACCAACTTCGCAGCCTAAAACTACGTGAAGAAAGCGCGACCCGCTCATGAAGGAACCAGTGACCCGCCCAGTGAACACCGCAACGCCCAACTTCCGCACCTAAAGCCTTCCTGTTGATGCGGTTGTTCCACTACTAGCTGTCTCTGTTTTGAATGAAGCGAGCGAGGCAACCAGGAGAAAGAGCTGATATCCACTCGTCCCACCACGTCACTTCTTCGCCCTATGCATATACAAGCGCAGTTGGTTATGCGGTTCTATATAGAACATTTTAAGCGTGTTTTTTTCTGCTTTTTTTCACTTTTGTGTCTTTTCCATCCTGTCATCAGTATTTGAGCTGCACAACTCCTTGTTATCGAACCAGGGTAGGTCTTTAAGAAGATTCCTCTGCGATCTTCCGGATCGAAGGGGCAATTAAAAGCTAAAGCAAAGAAACTAAACAGCAATGTGTTATAAATAGACCTCGGCCATATCTGGAAGAGTATATGTTGAAAACTGCCCGATAGCGAAGCCGATGCTGCACGCTGCTGTAGGGATGAGCTGTTGATAATTCCATGTTCTCAAACGCTTCTCAGGAAGACTATCGAAGCCCTTCAAAATCGTTTCAGCAAAATCGCGACACGTAACAAATTGAATTATCGGGATAAACTTACCACCAGGTCTCCACTGGCCACTGCAGTAAGCCAGCTGTCACAAGTGATGTGCAGACGCCAAAGTGCAAGCTGATCAGGAGCATCAACACATGGGAGCCACTCACGAGTGCCTAAAAACTGGAGATCTGTCCCTGATGCTGGCGAGCTGCCGACACAAAACACCATTCACTGTTGCCCTTCTCGAAATTCATGCCATGATGATGACATGATTTTCCTTCTCTTTCAGATTTTTCCGAAATTCTGCTTCAAGGATAACTTTGTCTACTTCCTTCGGCTGCCCGGCCCCACGAGTGCTGAGCCTTTTCTACGTTAAAGGCACATTCCGCATTTGCCTAATATGCAGATACCTTCCGAGGTGTTCTGGAAGCACAGCGGGTGTACTACCTTAGCGGCTCAAAAGTACTTTACAAAAGAAGCGAGGTGTTGGTGACGAGAGGAATTCT